CTCTTATTCTAGCAGAATGAGGAACAGAAATTTTCAGCAGATTTGAGTGAGAACAGGCCATAACAGTTTTGGAACCATGTCCCAGTTTGGGTAACTGACTTGAGTCAGAGTAATTCAATAATTCTTTTTCTATCTGCTCCTCCTTTGATGCAAGTTTTAAATTTGATTTGTTAGAATTTTACCTAAGCCAGGAGTGCATGGTTAGACTCTGAGAGGATGCATCAGACAAGAACTACTACTGTTAGTGGTTTTAGCCTTAGGCAGACGAACTATTTTACTTCATACCTAAAAGGCAAGAAGGAACAGTTCCTTCCTATTTACTTAAATACTTGCACTGTACCCACTGCTATAATTCCCAAGTACCTTCAGAGGAGGATAGTCATACAGATTTTCAGTGCTCCTGTAGCACACTTCCAGTTTTTTAACTAGTGGGAAAAATGATACTGACTTTAGTGTCATGCCAAAGCGTTTTTACAATCCAGAAAGGGAGAAGGGCCAGAGACATTAATGTACAAAACTAACTTCACTATTGCCACTCTGGTTTACATAGTGCTGTACACAAGACACTAATGGCTGTACAAAATCCTGAGACATCCGAGCTGCACCTCATCCTATGTATTAAACTCCAATTACAGCAACACAGAACCTCCCACTACTGCCAAAACACAGTAGTAAAAAACCGTAATGGCCTATCAATTGGCCATTCATTGACCTATCAATCTTATAACATAGTACTTCTGAAGTACATACTTCTCTTCCCAAAGGCAGAGAAGTTGAAAACAGGCCTATTAATGGTCTCAGATTTCCACTTGAGCCAGTCTTAAGGCTGAACTTTGGCATAGACTAATACGTGATTGCAACATTAATACATCCTAAGAAGGATGGATACCTATAGCAATCTATGTATGGGAGTTAAGAGCCACTGACTCTTTGAACTAAGGTGATATCCATCAGAAAAGCCACCTGCAGCAGAGTAAAGCAACATTTAACTGGCAGCTATAATGCAAGGCATCATGTCTAGCAACTGTGGATGTAGATGCAGTATTTCACCATGGTCCTGTAAGGAGACTCAGACATGGGTGGTCTAGCCTACTTTGGGGCTATAATCCAAAAGCCAAGAGGCAGGTAAAAACCATAAACCAAGTATATGTTTTTAGTTCAAAGGCTAAGATCAGAAGCCTGATATCATCAGATGTTGGCAGCAGCACAGAAGCCATGTGAGCATCAGGAACCACTTAAGTAAGAACAGGCAGAGACATCCCAAGTAAGAGAAGCAAAGGGTTGGTAGAGAGGTGTGTGGGGGCGAGTTGTGTGTCACACAGCTAAATTAGGTCCCAATTAGATCAGAACTGTTTCAGCAGCTAATTCAATAGCTTTAACTGGTACAGCTGAGGACACTGGCTCACCAATCATTATGTCACAGGTCCCAGCTGGGACAGACTAACTCAAAATGACTATGAACAAGCCTGGAACCCTGACACCTTCCAAGGTAATGCATCTGAGCAGGCCAAAAGTATAATGTGGCACGTAAACATCTACAGCAAGTTAAACCACCAAAAATCACTGTGGCTAGCAAGGAGCAGTCATGACAACGGACACTTCATACTTCTTGCTTTTGATCCTGCCCTTTGTATCACAGGAATTAGTAGAAAGGCATAGAGGAGTCAAGATGATTAACCAAAGGGAAAAGCTTTGGAAAATAAGCCTGTACCTGCTCTTTCTGCAGAGCAGTGGTTCTCAACCTTTTCAGGCTCAAGGCACACTTCAGAAAATGCCACCTCTTAGCTTTTTGACAGGGGGAGGGGAGGGGAGGGGAGGGGAAGAGAGACTACACATTCGCTTTAATGCGCAGTGGCCTATTTTACTGTGCATTAAAGCATCGCATACAAACTCTGTAATAATGCTTATGCGCAGTAAAATAGGCTACTGTGCATTAAGCATCACTTTAAAAATGTGTACTTTTGGTATTGTGCATAAGGGCAGCCTAACGTGCATATTTAGTACCTCACATTGGAGGATCTCTCTGGGCTTATCTTGTGAATCATGTAAGTGTTTGCATACTTAATGCCAATAATGTCGTGCAGCTTTCCAGAGCACTCTTAAAAGATCTCATCGCCATGGTTGAGAACCACTGCTGTAGAGCAAGAGGGGGCACATGTTGCAGCCCTCTATGGTGACAATATTTTTGGGTAAAATGTAGTGAGTCTTTTAGTTAAAGTACAGGATCTGTGACAGACACATAAGTGGCCAACCACTACTTTAGGGCTAGAAAGGACTTCACAGACTTCTTCACAGGTTAAACACTACCAGGGTTATTCCATATGAATTACACCACTTCCAGAGACTTCTTTGCGTGCGTTTCAAAATGGCCATTGAGCAGTGCTCTGGAGTCTGTCCCTCTCTCGAAGCTCAGACCTCTAGAACACATCATTTACAGACATTTTTCTACATCACAAGAGGAGCTCACCTTAATGCCCAGGGACTAAGCCATGCCAGAGCCCATGTAGAGGAAGGTAAAGACCTTTTACCAGAGCAGAAGGGGCATAATAATAATAATAATAATAATAATAAATAAAGATAATAATAAAAAAACCACTTAACACTACTCTGCTTTAAGTTTAGTTTCTTTCAAAGCCACAGACAAACTACTAAATAGCATCAACTATCCAATTCAGGGCAAGGGACCTGGGCATCCAGAGACTTCATCTTGGAGCCATGGCCTCCAAGATGGAGTGTGTAGCAATGGGTGTGCCCCGTTTTTTGCCGTGGACTCATGGGACAAGAGATGCCTCAGTCAGTACCTTAGCAAATACTGCACTACAGAAAAGTGATCCTATACACATGGAGCTCACACACTAAGGGATCTGCCTGGACAACCATCAAACAGAGGAAATGCCAGTATTTAAACCACCTTGATCAGCTAGAATGTTACTTTGTACTCCACTCCAGAGTAACCTACCACCACTACTACACCATTTAATCAGGAAATAAAAGCCATGCTCTCTCTTTGCTGACATGTCTTTAGAGAGCACCTTGCAGATGGGGCCATGTTTCCAGAAACAGACGAAGAATGTGATCTAATATGATCCATTAGAACAACTTTTTTTAAACACTATTTCAGTTCTTCCAAATACCTTAAAATACTTTGAGTGGAATAATGCAGCAATTCTATCAGTAGCCTAACTAATGATGTTCCACCAATCTCTTACCTGGACAGTAAGCAAAGACACCTCTGATCTGTCCATCTCTCAGCAAGCACCCCTTTCCAGGAACATGCTGAACAACTCTACTCTCCAAGTGGAACCATTTGATTTACCATTTTACCCTGGTCTTCCAGGTTATGGCATCTGATTTTCCTCAGCAGCTCTAGCTGTGTTGTCTCCTGCTATACTTGCCATTGAATTATAACCTGAAAATTCAGCAACTTGGAAAAACATTATTTAATTATCTGTGAACACTGATCAGAAAGGAAGAGTTAAAAACATTACAAGGCATACATCATCTCTGACTGAAGCATTTTGGTCTCAAGATTTTGGTGCAACTTTTTTGGATTCCAACACCAAAGAAATTAGTCAGCGTTCTCCTAACATTTGCTTTCAACTTGCTCTTGGCTCCAAGGCTGAGGGCCTAACTCCTTTCAAGTTCTGTTCAATTGTAAGCCGCTTGCACTCACTCCCACTGTTACCAAAAAGCTTTCTGATCAGAACATAGCAAGATAAATTTTCAAAAGGAACTGACTCTGTATTGTTATCAGCAACAGAGCCATTGACTGTGGAGGGGAGTCTCACTGCAGTTAACCCAAACTGTCAGCTTAGGTGGGAGCATTGACCTAGTTTAATATAGCTCAGATGGAAGCATCCTCTGAAGAAAGCCAAACCTGCATTATTGCATCTGCTGTTCTGGCTTTTGTCTCTATGGGTTGAGGCCTTATCCCATGGCTCTTTATAAACAGATTTTCTAAGATTTCCACCCCTACTCCTCATCCCAGCAGCTGTGGAAAAACTTGTATGAAAGTCACTGGAGGACTTTCAGAACCAGAATTTTACCTGTCAGTTGTGAAATGGGAAGGTTTTGGCCCACGTAAAAGCAGAGGACAGATCCTAACCCAGGGACAGGCAAAGTCTGGCCTGCGGACTGGATCAGGCCTACAGCAGACTCCATTTCCCAGCAGCCCCTGCCTACCATCTGCTGCAGCTGGTTTCCATGGAGACCCCAGCAGGGGTGGCACCCTGACAGCACAGAGCGAGGGTTTCCGTGGAGCAGTGCTGGCAGATGCACAGTTGGGCACGGAGCTACTCCAAGGCTAAGATCTTGCAACAGTGACCTTGTGATCCGGAGCCGGGGCGGGGGTGTGCAGGCAGCAGATCACAGCTCTGTCCTGGCTCTGGACCACTCTGTCACTGCTGCAAGATCCCAGCTCCCAGGCCAGCCATGCACCCTGCCAGCACTGCTGGGGCTGGTCTCCATGGAAATACCAGCCCGCCACTGCTGGGGTCTCCATAGAAGCCAGCTGCAGAGACCTAGGTAGGGGCTGCTGGGAAATAGAGTCTGGCCACCAGCCAGATCTGCCATTTGGCTCACCCTGTCCTAACCTATAGCCACAGCATCAACTAATCTCAGGTTTTAAATACCACTGAAGTCCATCTGAATGTTTTTTTCTGAGTAGACTGAAATAGGAAGAGGTCAGGCTAATAGTGCAGTAAAACATAAGGATTTCTGCAGACATGAGAGGTGCATCAGAAAACTCCCAATAGTTTCATGTCTCAAGCTGTTACTCTACATTTAAATGTTTTAAAGGAAGGAAAGTGGAGATACAGCTCATGTGGACTGACTGGGATTTTTGAGGACTGATTGTCACCATTACTGAAACATCAGAACAAATGCCTAGATGTTCAAGTTTGTTGCTCAGGCAACCACCCCCAGAACTCATCCGTCACGTTGCTACTGCAACCCTTATTGTACTTTAAGTGCACATTAACTATGAAAACAGACATGCATGCTTTTTGGGCAGTTTGTACTTGTTTTATTACAATTTTAGCTGTTAGTATTTTCATATCTGGACATCTTAAAAGGATTTTTTAGATTTACAACTTCAAAAGACACTTTTTACAGAATTATAAATCTTGTTGATGACTACTGACTGCACTGTATACAACTTAACTGCCCCCCTCCCAAGGGGGTCCACCCCCAAATAGCTCCAAACAAGTGAAAATCAGAGATCTGTGTTCACGTTCAAGCTACAGAAAAAAAACTCAATTAAAGAAAAACAGTGATCATATTAATTTGACAGTTCCACAATTTTAAGATTCAAGAAGAGCATACACAAAACTATATTTTATCATTTTATTAGGAATAATTCCAAGTGGGTTATGAAGAAACTAATCCATAGAGTTTGATGAATTTCCAAAATCTCTTTATGAAGATATGTTCACCAATAAACAGTAAAATTTCAGCAGAACTATTATACACTGGGCAAAAACAGTCAGGCTGATACCAAAAAGCAACATGCAACATAAAAAAAAAAAGATACAATATAAAGGAAGACAATCTGCTGAATATTAAAAACAACCTAAACATGAGCTCTTCGCAACCAGCGCAGGACTATTCTACCCAACAAATCCAATTCACACAAAGGCAATTTGGGCTGACGGAACCCAAGGGTTAATAAAATGTTCCTCAGTGCAGTAGATCTGAATAGTGTTTTAGAGAATTTTCTTGGCTGGAACAAGCAGTATTAGGAAGTCTTTTTTGGCAAGGGAGAGAAATAAATACAAATGGAATGCTACATTTTTAAATCAGCAGACTGTCTGAGGAATGAAATAAGGTATCAGTAAACTAAAGTAGCAGGGAAAAAGACTTTAAAACATTAATTTATTGGGGCTCAGAAAGTATTCAAAACAGATTTTGAAGATGTCACAAGAACTATATTCAGGCATTTAGGCTAACAAGGGAAGTAAAATCAGAAGATACACTTTTTTTTTCCCCCCCCAAGTTAAGGAGATATTTTTACCCAAGCCCATTGCTACCTCTGCAACATGTAGCTTGGTAAACAATAATTGGCAACAAAATAAGTTGAAACGCTGTAATATCCTGCCCAAATCAGTTCCAGATACTGTTTAATAACCAAGATGCAAACTAATTTTTTTTTTGTAACAAGCCTAGACCACTTATATCAAACATGTCCCTGGTGAAAGAGTCATCCAGTTTGAGTTAGCGTTTTGAGAGCTCATTTGACAGCCAGTCGAGTCCCTCATACAGACCAGTTCCTTGCGTAGCACAGGTAGCTTGGACATACCACTGTTAATAGGGAACACAAAGGTAAAATTAAAGTAAAAAAACTCAAACTTTGGTAAAATAAAGACTATAAATTATAACTAGAACATAATGGTGATAAATACTTACAGGTAATTTATGCCCAAGTAACACGTAGTTGGTTTTTAAAGAATCAACTATTGTATTTGTCTCCCAAGTACTTTATAGTGCATGAGCTCAAAGAATAAAGGGGCAAGATGTAAACTAGTTATTCGCTGTTACTGAAAGCTATTTAAAACCCATTAGGGAAGTTAAGAGGGAAATTATAATAGACAGACAGTACTTTTGTCAATATGAAGTGATGAAGGAAGTGACATGCTAGGTTGCAACTGATTTATTTGTTCAATAATTCTAAATTTAATGCTTATGCAGATGAAGCCTCTCTTCACATAGGAACAATTTTAATGCATGTATTTTCCCCAAATTATCTTGAAACAGTGAAGTATTCAAACTTTCTTCAAATAACCAAGAAGAAAAGTAACCATGTTTTGTTAACAGATCATAGTTAGGGACCTACCAAAATTGCAGCAGAAGTGCGCTGCATGGTGGGTCCTTTAATCTTGCAGTTTCCACCCCACCACTGATTGGCAGAGGGGCCTCACTGCTCGCTCCTGAGCAGCAAGCAGAGAGGCGCAAAATCCATTTTAAATATGGCACAGTTTTTGCCTTCCACCGCTGATTGGCCAAGGGGCTCTGGCAGCCCAGATGCTTGCTACTGAAAGGCCAGGAGACAAAAACCACACCATACTTAACACCACAGTTTTTGCCTTTCCGCCAATAAGGAGTGAGCAGCAAGCAGCAGAGTCCCTCTGCCTATCAGTGATGAAGGGGGAGGAAGGGGGAGCACAGGGGAAACTGCAAGATTAAAGCAGTCTTGAGCAGCATACTTCCGTTATGATTTTGCTATGTCCCTAGCCACGATTCAAGATACTCAGTTGTCTAAAACATGGTAGGTAATTACATTCTTTATAACAACTGCAACCTTCGCTACGCTACTGAGAACCAGCTTCATGCTTCGAACTTCACTTATTCATAGAAATAATTGTGTACAATACATTTAACATCTTTCCAGGTGAGAGAGATGAAGGGAAATCTACACACACCACATAAAAACTGAACTACCTGATAATCAAACAATACTTGAGTACTCACAGTTCTGTTACGCAGAGACTGAAGACCTAGTTTATCTGTCATTTCACTGATTGCCATGGCATTTGGCAGGTCTTGTTTGTTCGCAAACAGAAGCAGTACTGCATCTCGCAACTCATCTTCCTGAAGCTAACCAAAATGAGAGCATGTTAATTTCACTTGCCTTCTTTAATTTTTACTTAGCTAAAGAAAACACAATTAAGGGTGCAGTCTTGTCAACTGTTCACTGTTATTCCCCACAATCAACTGTCAGACGCTGTTTGCTAAGTTAACCAAGAACCCTGGTGGACCAATAATGCTGAATTATAGAACACATCTACAGAATTTTAAGGCTTCCTGAAACTTCAAAACCCCGAGACACTGTTAGAGAGGCTGGCATGTTCATCATTTTCAGAAAAGCTAACTTAGCAGAGTAAACTTAACACATAAATAGTCAGTGTGATAGGTTTTGATAATTACCATTTTCTGCAGCTCTTCTGCTGCTTCCTGAATTCTCTCTCTGTCATTGCTATCTACCACAAAAATGAGACCCTGCATAAAAAAAAAAAGGCAGCTTTGAGTCACCTTAAAGTATACAGCATTATTTGAAGAATGAAATAAAAGAATCAACACATAGAAATGAGTGCCATTGCTGCTGTGTACTATTCCATCCCCCACCCCCAATCTTTTCATCTACTGAAGCTGTAAGAATTAGAGACATTCTTTAGGTAGGTAGATCACCTGTAGATACAACACAAACACTAATTAATAATTAGTTGGGTAACTTAAAAATCAAGAAGTTTAAAATGAAAGACGATTCCCAAAAAGTGAGGTATTACACATTATTAGGGTTCAAAGGAAAGAAAGCTAATGCAAGTGTTCCTATTTTCCTTTTCCCATCCTTATCATGCTGAACTAGACATTTCCAGCACATAAACTATTTCAAGACATAAGGTGTGTTCCACAGGTGAACATTTAACAACTCTTACCACCAAGCACAACATTTACATTAATAACCTGAAGTTTCACTAATCGGCATT